CCCCCCCCCCCCCGCCCCCTTTCATTTACAAACCAATCATACCAAACATGTCCTTCTTCACTTAGCACACTTTTCCCAGCAACCTTTTCTTCACCATCGGACCTATGGGTTCAATGATGGACTGAGGAAAGGGGACCTTGTGTTTGGACAGCCCCGCAGCCAGAGCTGCAGGAGCGCTATTAGAAAGGACTGCTTTAACAATAAAATGAACGGGAGCGCGCACCGCCCACAACGAAATCCACCCCATAGTCCGAGAACCCCTGGGCTCTGTAGAAGATGGGCATGAAGCGTTCGACATTTAGCCCAAGCCACCCTTCACAACATGGCTGCGTGTTGAACATAGTTTGCCCTTTCCCTTGTCATCACATTGGCCTTTAAGTTGACCCCTCGTAGGCCCTCTGCGTGCGGTTTACGCGTAAAACATCCTCATGGGGAGGGTATGGAGGAGGGAGAAGGGGTTGTTGTGCGTCCCGACTACCCCTTCATTTTCCTTTTCGTCCTCAACTTGGTCTATGATCGTCTAACCTGATGAGATAGAAGCTTTTCATAGCACATGATGCATATATAATAACAATATTACACTTGACATTATGATCTCACATTTTCCTTATTTACCTCATATATACATTGCTCCATGATCTCGAGAGTAAAAGACAGCCTGACTAGGATTCAACCAGCGCGGCAGTCTTCACCGGCTGCTGAGGGGCCTGATTAGACTGGCCGTAGAGGTAGTTGCTGATGCCGTGGCCGAGAACGCTGCCGCCTAAAACAGTGGCCATCGTCCAGAGGATCCCCCCGTTCTCCCTCCCTCCCTCCTCCTCCGGGTTAAGCGTAGCCGTTGGCGAGCTTGTGAGGGGCCGCAGCCCATGTCCTGCTGGGGCGTATCAGAAGAGGACCCCACACGTCGTGAACGAGGCACCGGCCTCTGACGACGAGGCGAATTGGCCCCGTCCTTAGAAGAGCAGGGCGAACTATCCTACTGAAGGAAATAGACTCCCCCTCCCCCTCCTCTTTAGGACTCTCGGACTTAGCATTATTGTGAAAATATGGACTTTTGGGATGCCAATGAAATATGCGTCCTTTTTTATTTTGGCATTATCTGAACCATGCTGATTTATTAGAAGCCTAACATAAGTTTCTATGAGATAAGAATAGATTGAAGATCGAAGTGTCATTCGTATTTGAAATAAAAACGCACTGTTCGGCATGCTACATGACTGTAAAAACTACACGCACAATCAGAGATTTCTTACAGAGTCTGAATATTTTTTCCTATAATTTCAATCCGTGCAGAGGTTCGTATAGGGAACCCCTAATAAGGTCAAATAGTGAATTATAAGTTTCTTTGGTGATTATTGTTTTATTCTTGATATTAAAGCAATAAACCTATCTATAAATACCAATTTGCCTAAAGCAGCATATTTAAAGCTCATGGTAATTTTACGACTACCTCTTCACCTTCACACCCTTTTCAATACGTAGAAAATTATTAATACTAATAAAATACTAATAATAAATTCATCCTAAACCCACGAAGTAATAATTAACTAAGAACATTTTCGTAAATTCTTCTTTTAGAGGGGCAGAAGGTCATTACAATGTAAATCAAGTTTTAATAATTTACGAATAAATAAACATACGCTCAGATCTACTGAATGAAAGCACCAAACTTAGTTAAATATTCGCAGCTAAAAAAAAAATATATATATATAGATAGATAGAAATTAATCAATACTATTGATTTTCCTTAGTTACCTTATATAGGCCTCAACTCCACCGTTTCGAGAGCAAAGGATCACGCCTTTAGGCGCTCGGCACGCGGTGCTGATCGCGGCACTGGATGAAGTAATCCCACGCCCACTTGCAGGTTTCGGCGTTGCCCGGGTTGGCCTCGAGGCAGCGGGAGTAGGACTCGACCTGCGCGGCGCAGGCGCTGCCCTCCTGGGAGGCGGCCTTCGCCAGCTCCTGCGCCTCGGCCGGCTGCTGAGGGGCCTGATTAGACTGGCCGTAGAGGTAATTGCTGATGCCGTGGCCGAGAACGCTGCCGCCCGCGACCGC